CATCCGGGAGAGAACCAGGAGGAGGGTTCCTGTGGCGGACGGCCCTCCGATGGACGGTGAGGCCCCCCAGGCCGACACGATTCCCTGGGCACAGTCTCTGTGCAGCCTCCCTCCCGGGCGTGCAGTAAACATTCCCTGATTAATTCCCGCCCTCCTGGGAGAGGCATCTGAGCGGGGGCCTCTGTGTTTGCTGGCTTCCAGCACGTCGCAGGCTGGGAGTGTAAGCTCTCACAAACCGATGGTCTTTCTGGGAGAGAAGCTAAGTTGGGTTTGGGGTTTTTCTTTTGGAAGTTAAGTTTTTTCCCCCTCCCCAAAGGTTTATCCTCTCCAAGGACTCAAGGACTCATGCAATCCGCGTGAAACAATCCTTTGACCCAGTGATGCTCTTTTGGTTTTCTCTGTTTCCTATGTTCTGTGGTTGATGTCTCTATGGAAAGACACAGCTACTGTGTCACACCAGGCCTGTGTCACGCAGCCTCCATTGTCTGGGCCTGTCGTCTCCGGTGGGTCACTTGGTGTCCCCATCACTGGTAAAACAGGGAGGGAGCTGGGACTTAGACCCCCTGGGTGTGGGCTAATTAGAGGTGAGAAGCAGATGACCAGCAGAGCTTCGTGTTCCGGTGACTCACGTCTTCATCTTCACCCTTGCCCAGAGTTTGAGGCTGTTGGTTGTAGTGAAGGGATTACACAAGACGATGGAATCACCAGGCCTGGGTTCAAATCCCAGCTCAGCCCCTCACCCATTGTGTGACCTGGGGCCAGTCACCTAACTGCTCCTGTGCCTTGAAACAGTATGGCGAAAATAATGATAATGCAAAAAGAAAGCCCTACCAAAGTCGCTTTCTGATAAATGCTGTTTTAGGGTATTTTTGTCATAGGTAGATGTGTCTTCTGTCACGGAATGGCTCTGAGAACTGCTCATCTTGGAAACACACAAGCTGGGGAATTCTGCTGTGGTGACAGGGGCCAAGCTGTCCCTGTGTACTCAGGGCCCCTCAACCCCCGAGGTTGTCAGAGGGCCTGTGTGTGTGTGCACGTGAGGTGTGGATGTTAGGTGCACATGTGGTGTGGACGCAGATGCCTGGCATTGTGGGCTCAACTCCAGGCCGTGGGTTCTAGCCCCTGTTTCCACCAGCATCCGTCCTGCCCTGCATCCTGGAATGAGGTCCGTCCTGCACCAGCAACTCCGTCAGTATTGATCAGCCACGTGATCCTCAGCTGCCAGGGCTCTGTGGGGCCACGTATTTTACGAGCTTCCCACAAGCATCTGTTGCTTCCTGCTTGTGCAGAGGCTGGGCTTTCTGCCTTTTGTTCCCTGCACTGTCCTCTGGGAGGGAACAGGCTGGAACATAGGAAGAGCATAACTGCGAATGAATGAATGGAAGACGAAACGGGCCTTACAAAGAGGACACTACCCAGGAGGTTTTGTAGGGCGTATTTTGGACAGATCATTTCTATGTTGTGTGTGTGTGTGTGTTTTTTTAAAACTCAGAGTAACCTATGACTCTGAGTGTGATATGCTCAAAGAAATTCTAGAATCGAATGCCATGTATCGCCTGCAGTGTTTTACTTTTTCTAATGATTTTACACCTATGTCGTCCTTCAATCACCTTTGAAATCCCACATGGTAAGTAGAACAACGGGATTCTGTTTTCCCAGCATCCAGAGTAAGCCCAGAGGACCCTGGACGTTGTCATCAATTGTCTGGAGTGACCGTGACCAGTGTCTGAACACTAGAGGGGGTAACAGTAGTTTTCATGGTTCCCTCTCTTTTTTTGCAGGGCGGGGGGCAGGGTTCGCCATGTGGCATGTGGGGTCTTGGTTCTCTGACCAGGGATCAAACACAGGGCCCCGCTTTGGGAGTGTGGAGTCTTACCCACTGGACGAAAAGGGAAGTCCCTGGGTTCTCTCTTTTGAAGTCCCATTCCTGTCCTGATTTCCTGAAATGACCCCAATAAAGCGGGTCTGTCATCCTTTTCTCCCCCAGTCGGCCTCTGTCTCTCTGTGTCCTGTCCCTCTGCTTGATGGTCCCCTGGTGTCCCCTTCTGTGTCTGTGTCCCCCTGGGTCCCTCCCCTTGAGGGGAGCTGGGAGCCCAGTGCCTTGCTCACACCCGCGTGGCCTCCCGCGCCCACGCCTGCTGCCTGTTTCCTGGGAATTTCACGATGGGCCGAGCAGGGGCCCGGGTCTTCTCTGCTCCTGGCGCTGCTGACTCTGCTTCCTGTTTACTTCTGAGGGAGGCTGGGGACGCGGGCTCCGCGGCCAGCCCTGTCCGGAGTGGGCCAGGGCCGCATGCGGGCTTATCAGCCCATCAGCCAGAGGGGCCGGAGGGCTCTGCCATCCGTCAACTGTCTTCCGTCCCCACAAATTCCCTGTCCTGGAATGTCATCTTCCGAGATGGATCAGGCCAGATATGGGAGCCTAGAGAGTTCCTGCAGGGCTCGGCCAGTTATTTCACTTTTATTTTCAAAATTAGGACATAGACACTCTTTTAAAACTCTAATAAATGTTTCTTATTAAAAATTGCAAAAAAAAAATCATCAAAATGTAAAGAAAAAAGTAATAGTCGCCCAAAACCTCATCACCCAGGATAATGGTAATATTGCATTAAACGTTTGTCTATGTAAATGATACCCAGAGAGATCCATGTGTACTATTTTACAAAAGTGGGGTCACCTTGCACATGTTGCAGTTGACCCGCTTTTCTTTTTAGCTCGACAGCACGGCATGGATGCACTTTCATGTCAGAAAATACAGATCCGCATCAGATACAGATACACAGTTCAGACACATGGAACAGATGCCCAGCTCTACCGTGTCCCACAGGCCCCAGTGCTGATGTTCAGACTTTCCCCGTTTGGCTGATGTGCATTATAAACCACGCTGCAGTGGACATTTGGTGAGTATTTGCCTAAGTATTTCCTCGGGTCAACTCCTAGAGGTGGGGTAACAAATACAAGGCTTACACGCTGAAAATATGGATGTGCCTGAGCAAGCCACCCACAAACAAGGAATCATCAGTTTTCCTTCCATAAACCAGGGTCCCAGCTACTCCTGGGTCCCTGTTCCCAGCCCTGCTGCATGCCGGGCACCATCCGCTTCCCTCTGCTGATGCTGTAGATACAAAGGAACAGCTCATGGTCGCTCACTTTTTCCTGTCATTTACGTGCCTGTGAACTGGTACAGCGACTCAGTCCTACATCTTCATATTGCGAAGATCTCTGGGCTTCCCTGGTGGCTCAGATGGTAAAGAATCTGTCTGCAGTGCGGGAGACCCGAGTTTGATCCTTGGGTTGGGAAGATCCCCTGGAGAAGGGAATGGCTACACACTCCAGTATTCTTGCCTGGAAAATTTCATGGACAGAGGAGACTGGCAGGCTACAGTCTAAGGGGTCGCAAAGAGTCAGACACGACTGAGCAATTAACACTTTAGTGGTCAACAGGCCCACACCACCCTTCCACCACCAACATACACCCCTCCACTCAGCCACTGAATATCTGAATCAGCTCAACGGTTTCTCTTGAAAGACATCCTCCTGCCCCTGTTGCTTGAATACACCCATAGCTGGAGAGCTCACCACTGAGAGGGGCCACTGCATTCCCAGCCCTGCTCTGCTAACCTTTAAAAGACAGTATGTATGCAATGGCCATGCCACGCCAGGAGCTATGCTCAGCCCTGCAACGAAGAGCATCTCAAGCCTCCAACAAGGCTGGAAGCACGGCCCACTACCTCCCTGGTTTGTTCCAATCCAGGTCACGGAGATACGCAGGAGAAGGGACTTGCTGAGGGTCACAGGGCTACGAAGCAGCAGGGCCAGTAGCTGAGCTGTGTTGTTTCTCAAACACATGCAAACCACACCACTTAAAGGCTCACGAAGGAAACTTCAACCCGGCTAGAAATCTAACTTAGAAAATGCTGGCTCAAACTGTAGATCTGTAAAGATTTCTTCCCCTACCGATGCTGTCTTCAGCTACCCAAGGAAACTAGAGCCGCTGGAAGATACCAGTTGCGTTTGGGCTTTGTGTGGGGAGCCCTGCTGGCCGCCTAGGCCACAGATAAGCAAGAGGGTGGCCCGGCCTCAAAGATACCCTGTGACTCACATGTCACATAAGAAAAAAAAGTCTGAAGTATGACTTCATTGATGCAGACCCCAAATTATTCCAAAGCACTCACCTCTATTTTTTTTTCCCCCACTGAGAGTTGTTTTTAGAGATTTTTCTACCTGTAGAAATGCCCTTAAGCAAAACACCCGCACAAGATGCAATGATCTCATTTGTCCCCTCTTTGGGCCCCACCTTTCTGACTACTTGACACCTGTTTCCCAGCTACCTAGGCCTTATATTATTCTTCAAAACCTCATTCTTTGTAGCATCAGTCAGTCACACATTAGTATGAATTAGTCCAACAAACTAAGTAGGTACACCTTACCAGGAGTAATTATGCTCAGGGTGCATGTTCATCCCTGAGATGGATGTCTGTGAACTGGACAGCAGGGAAACCACATTTAGCTGCAGAGGACACTGCTCAGCTTCACTGAAGTTAATCCTTAAATTTCATCTCGGCAGCTTTCTGCTTGCTTGGGCACCTGTCTGTCTTCAGGACATAAAAATATAAGCTCAGCAATGGGTTGCTTCTAATCAGAGGAAGTTTAGGCCATCAAAATAAAATCTTTCATCTTGCTTCAAACCAAAGCAAACAACACTCAACAACAACAATGAAAAAAAGTAAAAAGTAAATTACACAGCAGTACACACCGTGATCCCTTTCAACGTAAAGATGCCACTCTGAGTCTAAATCTTTCCGTGTAAAACCACTAGCTGGGAACCACCACAGCTTGCAAACTAAATTTAAAAGCTTGCATCCCAAGACCCTTGAGCAAAGGTTACTCGAGGTCTATTCCGGGTTCAAGCAGGGGGAGAAAAAAAAAAAGAAGCTTTATTTGGCAAGGAAGTGCCTTGAGAGAGGCGCTTGCTGAGCAGGGGCACGGAGGAAAGCTGTGACTCAGTGCGTTTTTCTTCTGGCATTTACAGCCCTGAAAAATGATTGCAGCTTCCTCCGGCCGCTGGAGCCAGAGTCTGAAGAGGTGACCTTTACGGAGAGTCTGTTTACTCCATCCTCAGCACAGGACCCTTGCGTGAGCTCCGGGAGGCTGCGCCGCGCCTTGGCGCTGACCCCGGGGGCTGCATCCAGACTGCCGGCTTGGGAAAAACCGTGGGCGAGAGGGAGCAGGGCTGCCGAGGGTCTGCTCTGCGGGTGGGGGTGGGGGTCAGGGTCAGCCCCTTCCCACTGGGCGCTGGGGGCTCGCCTCTGGCCAGGAACCTCCAACACAAAGCGAGTCTGTAGCGACCACCCTCTCACACTCCGTACCTTCTGGGAACTCACTCCCCGAAGGCCGGCGGCAACATCTCTGGCTTTTTAGACAAAACTAGAATCGGTCAGCCTGGGTGGGGATCCTCCTCTTTCACCTGCAGGCCACACCACAAACTGGATTGGAATCTTGATCCCCTGGACCACAGACGGGGGACTGGCAAGAAGGTTAACCTGGACGGCACTCAGAACCCCCCAAAGTGGAATCGCCCATGAGTTTTATAGCAGACGCGGAGACAAGAATCTGATTCCTCCACTGAGCCGCTTAAATGTGAAAAATGAAGAAGCATGTGTAACAGGATCTGCCGGTTTTCAAAAGTATAATTAAAACTTGCAAGTTGGATTTATGTTTTTTAAGGATCATTTTGAAAACTTCCTACTGACAACACGATTGCTGCTGCTGACTTTCTCTTTGTACTTTGATTCAACTATCTTTCCCTTTAAAGAAACGTGTTCTGTTATAATCCTTTGGTTTCTGTTATAAATATAAAGCTCTTTCTTGCGAGAAAACTCTGAAGAGTTTAAAATGGAAAATTAAAGTGACATGACATTTCACCATACAGTAGTAACCACTATTAACATGGTGGTAAATTTCTTTTTGATCCGTTTTTTTCAAGTGAGTGTGCATGTGTGTGTTTGTGTGTTATATGATGCATCCTTTACAAAGCCCGTGTCAGGAGTTTTATATTGTGCTTTTCTCACTTGTCAATACCTCATAAGCACTTAACCAAGTCATTAGAGGTTGTTTATAAACATCATTTTAATGGTTGCCTAATATGCCATCTTATGGATGTGACATAATTTATTTTATGATTGATTCCTCTGTGGGAGAAAAAAAATTTTTAAAGTGTGCGAACTTCCTTTACCGGTGGAAAAAAATAGAATAGCTGCTCTGGAATGGTTATTTGTGATTTCCTGAAATTAGGTCAAAAATATTAGACATTTTTTGTTAACCCAAGTGCCTACTTCCTGGTGGATTCCAAATATTGACCCAATAGTGACCAGAGGAAGGGGAGTGGCCAGACCGTTTCCTTGCAAGATGTGAGGCAGGGTCCTGAACTAAGTCAGGGCTCAGCTTGCTGTGGGTGGGAGGTGAGGGATGCCCCATCAGGGGGCACTGGGGGGCTGTCCCTGGGGTCTGGGAGTCTCAAGCTGCACTGAGAATAAGAGAATAGAAAGCGCGGAGCTTGTGTCAGAGGAGGTGTTCCCAGAGTCCATGCAAAGTTCAGGCGGTCCCAACTCTTGACCCTTTACTGAACCCCTAAGGGATTCTCAGGTGCAGGGTTAATTCATAGGGTCCTCAGTGATTAAACTTCAAAATTATCCTTGAATCTCTTCCACCCATAATTCTGGGAAGATCATAAAACATTTTTTTTTTTTTTTTGGAGCACTCACTGTTCAAGAGGGGAAACATTTGTTTTTGCTGAAGCTGAAAAACTATAAAAATCTCTCTGAAACTTACTACATTGGGTGCATTACAGAGGAAAGAGTGACCCCCCCCCAAAAGTGAAACTTTTAGATGATTTTATGAGTAGTATAAATCTGCAATGTCTATTTAGCAAACTTAGAAAAGTTATAAAATGATCATTGTTTTGGTCCCTGGAGAGCTAAAATAGTCACACTTGTTTCTTCTACAGGGAGTACATATGTGAAGGAATTAGGAATGACTGGGTGCCCAACTCAGAGATTCACACACAGTCTTTGGCTAGTAATTTGATTCTTTTATGGTATAAGGACCCACTGCAACATCAGGCTCCATGTATACCCTTGGAAAATTTATCAAACTCCTGAAGGCCTCAGTTTCCTCATCTGTAAAATGGGGTGCCTGCTTCATCAGAAAGGAAATAAAGCACAGACACTCCTTGGCACAGGTCGGCACGTGGGCACACTCAGTACTTTACTTCTGATGGAGTGTTTTGTTAGTTCTCATGGAAAATCCTGAGATGCAGACAGAACGTTAGGATAAAGATTAGTGGTCAGAAGCTTCAAGAAGAATGGATGTGATGAAAATGCCTTGACTTTGGTGACTAAAATTCTGGGAATCATTTATGTTACAATTTCATATTCTAAATTCAATCAATTGATCAGAAAGGGGGGAAAAACCACTATGTACCCACAGATCTGAGACAGCCAACACACTGTGGGGATTTAAATGATCTGAGGGACTCCTCTGGTGGTTCAGTGGCTAAGACTCCACACTCTCCCAATGCAGGGGGCCTGGGTTCAATCCCTGGTCAGGGAGCTAGATCTCACATGCTGCAATCAAGAGTCCACATGCCACAACTAAAGATCCCGCGTCCTGCGATGAAGATTGAAAGTCCCGAGGGCCGCCACTGGGATCCGGTGTGGGCAAAATAAATAAAAATAAATATTAAAAAAGTAAAATACATGATCTGGAAGGAAGCTTCTCAAGTAAGTTCTGCTTTATAGTTTCACCAGCAACGCACGAGGGTTCTGATTTTTGAGACTGCATTTGACCAAACACTCGGCATAATACAACATGTAGGTGTGTGTGTGTATGTGTTAGTCACGCAGCCATGTCTGACTCTTTGCGACCCCGTGGACTGTAGCTCACCAGGCTCCTCTGTCCATGGGAGGAGGAGTATTCTCCAGGCAAGAATACCGGAGTGGGTTTCCATGCCCTCCTCTGGGGGATCTTCCTGACGCAGGAATTGAACCCCAATCTCCTGAGTTGGCACATGGATTCTTTACTGTCTGAGCCACCAGCCAAGCCCATAATACTTATTGATTCATCAATAATGATAGTACACCTCACACTGACATGGTGATTATAAGTGTTGTGGAGTTGTTCAGGTCTCACATAGAGCTCATTGAACCCTCACGACAACCCTGACACGTGACTGTGGTCACCCCCACTCTGCAGAGGAACAGACGGATGCAGGAGGGGCTCTCTGCCCGTCTCAGACAACCAGGCTCCTGGGCAGAGACCCAACCCCAGCAGCTCAGCCTCAGAATCCATCCCCTACACTGGGCTGTGGTATATCACGGTCTTCCAGATGGAGCCACACACATCCAAAACACAACCTGGGGACCTCCCTGCGGTCGAGTGGCTAAGGCGCTGTGCTCCCAATGCCGGGGGCCCTGGGTTCCATCCCTGGTCAGGGAGCTGGACCCCACATGCTACAACTAGAGATCCTGCATGCCACAACTAAGACCCAGCACAACCACATAAAGATTTTTTTTTTTAGTCTATAAGCTAAAGTTTATAAAATTGAAAAGAGGCAGCTCCTCCCCTAAAATGAATAAACCAGAAGGTTCTCTGGAGACAAAGGAAATGGCAACTCACTCCAGTATTCTTGCCTGGAGAATCTCATGGACAGAGGAGCCTGGAGGGCTATGGTCCATAGTGTTGCAGAGAGTCGGATATGACTGAAGAGACTTAAGCAGAAGGAACTCAGGCAAAGCGACGGTGGTGAGCAGCCAGATAAACTGTGATGAATTTGTAGGACTCAAGCTGCCTTTGGGGGAAGACGTCCTTTAAAGCAGATAATCCTTGAGCACAGACGGAACGTGCATGGGGGTGTGCCTCTCCTCCATTTACCGGATTCTCCGGGAGCAGACAGAGGCGTGGAGCACTGTCTGGGGCTGAACCCTCGCACCCCAACGTCAGGCTTGCAAGTCAGACCTGGTCTTTCCTTTTCAGACCTGTGCAGCGAGCCCCCAACTCAAGCCCATCTCCTGCCCTCCAGGCCTAGCCTGACAGTGGTCTCCATCAGCTGAGATGCAGTGATGACTGTGGTCATCCGGGAAGAGGGGGACAGAAGGGGAGAGCATCAGAGATTTCCCAGTGGACACAACCTGCTAGCTGGGTGAGCCGGGCAAGGCACATACCGAGTGGACTGGATGATGCCTGCTCTGGCCACGCCGGGGGCTCAGGGTGACTGACAGCTGGGCCAAACCTCCGCAGGGCTTGGTGTCCTCCCATGCACCCTGTGCTGGGGCCAGTGCATGACGTCTGTCCAGATGGACACTGCATTTAAAAGGGCAGCTGTGTGGCCAGGGCCTCACCCTCCTCCTCGGCAAATGGGTGTATGAGGGCCTCTACCCTGGTGTTTTGGGTGGACACAGGGAGATGGTGCATGCAGACCACTCCCGTGCCTGGCCCATGGCCAGCGTGGGGTCAGGGTGAGCCAGCAGTGTGATCGCCTGGTGTTTGAATGCCGGGCCTGACTCACAGGATGCCAGGCCAGCTCAGGACTGTCTGCTACCCTTCGTGTGCGTGAGGACAGGGTGATGCTGATGAAGCTGAGCTTGGGTATCACCGCTGAAGTAACTGGAGGTAAATGTGTGGGGACTTGACCTGCGGTAATCAAAGAGAGTGCGTTTGCAAACTAGCAGGTTAGAGTTAACATAAACTTTGGAAACCATGAGGAAATTAAGGATATCACTTTAAATTACATATCTTAAGTAGACATGTTCTTTAAATGTGATAAGACAGCTATGGTACATTAAGTCAATGCTGATCAGTAATTAAAAGCGGATTTCTTCAGGCTCTGTTGCCCAGGAGGAGAGATCAATGTCTTCGCACGGGAGCTGATAGCCCTCGGAAGTATGGTTTCAATAACCCTCGGGCCTCATTGGCCCTCTGCTCGGCAATAATAATGATTTGTTCTTGTAATGAAATAATATTCACTGACTGCAATCACGGTGCGGACGCAGGACATGCGTCCATGGCTGTCGTTATCATGGGCATGACCCGGCATGGGGATGATTTCACGGAATTCTAGAACATCAGAGCCAGACATCCCACCCCATCGTTTCACAGATTGCACTAAGGGTTTGCGGAGCTGTTCACACACCTGGGAGCCCCTTGCTGGTGACTTCGGTGATGGGGGTTCCAAGGGCAGCTGAGCAGAGGTTACCCTCTCTCTCCTCCTCCTCCCCTTCCTCCTTCTGAGCATCCCAACTCCTTCCTGTTGAACGTTCCACATCTGTCCCCAGCATCTGTTTTCTGGCTGCACCAGCCTCCCAAGCCTTCTCAGGACATGGGGTCCCAGTTCTAATCTGACATTCCCGTGTGGCTGAACCCCCGGAAGCTCTAGGAAAAGGTGGCAGCGTGGTGTCCAGGCCTCAGGACAGCTGCCTGCAACAGTGTCCCTGGTTTTCCCATTGCTATTGTTCAGTCACTAGGTTGTGTCTGACTATTTTTGACCCCATGAACTGCAGCACGCCGGGTTTCCCTGCATTTCACCATTTGCAGGAGTTTTCTCAAACTCATGTCCATTGAGTCAGGGAAGCCATCCAACCATCTTGTCCTCTGTCATCCCCTTGTCCTCCTGCCCTCAATCTTTCCCAGCACTGAGGTCTTTTCAAATGAGTCAGCTCTTTGCATCAGGTGACCAAATATTGGAGCTTCAGCTTCAGCATCAGTCCTTCCAATGAATATTTAGGACTGGTTTCCTTTAGGATGAACTGGTTGGATCCCCTTGCTGTCCAAGAGACATTCAAGAGTCTTCTCCAGCACCACAGTTAGAAAGCGTCAATTCTTCCGGGCTCAACCTTCTTTATGGTCCAACTCTCACATCTGTACATGACTACTGGAAAAAGCATAGCCTTGACTAGACAGACCTTTGTTGGTAAAGAGATGTTTTAATATGCTGTCTAGGTTTGTCATGGCTTTCCTTCCAAGGAGCAAGAGTCTTTTAATTTCATGGATGCAGTCACTGTTCACAGTGATTTTGGAGCCCAAGAAAATTAAATCTGTCACTGTTTCCACTTTTCCTTCATCTATTTGCCATGAAGTGATGGGATCGGATGCCATGATATTTGTTTTTTGAATATTGAATTTTAAGACCGCTTTTCCAGTCTCCTCATTCACCTTCATCAAGAGGCTCTTTAATCCCTCTTCACTTTCTGCTATTAAAATGGCATTATCTGCATATCTGAGGTTCTTGATATTTCTCCCCCCAGTCTTGATTCCGGCTTGTGAGTCTCCCAGTAGATGCTCCATAAACACTTGCTGACCACATGGACAAAGGCATATGTGAGCAAGCAAATGACCTTTTGAGTGGCAGTCAGGCCTGACTGCCCAGTATACTCTCCTGGGGAGCTACTTTTAAAATACTTTCCTTTTAACAATCTCCCCACCGGACTTCCTTTGGGGTCTAGTGGTTAAGAATCCGCCTGCCAATGCAGAGAACGCAGGTTCAATCCCTGATCCAGGAGGAGTCCACATGCTATGGAGCAACAAGAGAAGCCTGTGCGCCGCAACTGGAGAGGAGCCCCACCTCGCCACAACTAGAGAAAGCCCACACGCAGCCACGAAGACCCGGCGAATCTCCCACGTGTTCCACGTGCAGCCCAGGGGGCAAGCCTACGATGGGGAAGTCAGGCTCTAAAAAGTGTGTCATGGAGATGGGCAGCCTGGCACTCCGGGCGTACGAGTGGGTGGAACCTTCCAGAAGGGCGATTCAGCAGTGTGTTCATTTGCGAGTGTGCGTTTCCAGGCGTAGGCCCCCGGGACCTAATTAACGAGTGGGCCATAGCCTGGACTGCAGAGATGGCCACTGAAGCCTTCTGTCCTGGCCCCCAAAAAAAGCTGCCTGACGCCTAAAAGTCCATCCATCTAGAAGGTGGTACCCAACACGCTACTCTCAGTCTCTGGAACATTCTGTGTCATTAAATGTAATTTGAGGAAGAGTCTTGGCCAATGTTAAAAGTCTGCAACACACTGCAAGCTGTTTAAGAAACAGGTTGAGGTAGAGTCTAGTGTTTGGAAGGACAACTGCGCAGGGAACGCCATCTAGAAGGAGGAAAGCTCACAAATCCAGGAGTGCTGAAGACGTAGGGTCAGTGTGCTGGAGACATGTGGTTATGCTACATTCCAGTCATCTGATTACATTTACGTGAGGAATCCACTCAGAGGCCCAGCACGGCTACTATGCTGAGCATCCCATTCAGAAGGAGGAAACCGAGGCAGAGGGCGTTGCCGGGACCTGAACCCAGGTAGTTAAGCCCAGATCCGTGCCTCCCCGGCCCCAGACTGGCGATGAGGTGGTGCCAGCACTGGTCGTGTCGGGGGCTTGGCAACCTAGAGGCCCCCCTCCCTCTCTTTCTGCATGCATGGGTTCTCATTTGTCCCCCAGGGAACACGCATCAGCTCAATAATAAGTAAGGCCTCAGTTCAGCTATCCAAACCCTGATGCCTCTGGAGACACTGTCCACACTGCCATCTACACGGGTGAAGATTACCCTGGGGGTTGCCTCCCTCCCCCTTGGTTTTGTCCATGTGAACTGGCCGAGGAACCCCCTGGGCTCAGGAGGGGGCGCCGCCCCTCAGCCCCTCCTTATCTGGGCTGTTGAAACTGCACCTGGATTGTGTGTACAGCTCTTGGCTGCACGGCCCGGAGATGTCAACAAATTGGAGGTTGTTTAGAGAATTGCAACAGGATGATTAAGGAACGAGCTGAACGGATTTGTCAGGAAGGCTTTACAAGAGCTAAACACGGATGGTTTGGAGTAATGACAACTGTCCACAAGCGTGAGTGGGGTTGAAACGCTGGGGCGGGAGTGAGGAGGGGCACGCAGCGCTCCAGTGGAGCGGATCCATCTGAGGGTGGCGGGAACAGGAGCCTGTGTGGCTGAGTGGCCTGGGGCGTGTGCTCGGGGTGGGCTGGCCCCAGGGCTGTGGAAGGGGCTGCTCCCAGTGGGCTTCACTGGACATCTGGGGCATCTTGGGGCATTGCTGGGCCTCACTGAACATCACTGGCCTTCATGTCACAGTCAGGGTACATCGTGGCAGCATACCCTGTGTACATCTGCCAGGGAGGAAGGGACTCTGTGGTCCAGCGCCGGGCTGCTGATGCTCAGGGTGAAAAGGACAGGAGCAGGTTCTGGAAATAGGTGACTGCAGACAGAGGGGTGGGAACCGTGGCTCTGGGCGGACACTGCCCCCAGGTCTCCTGCACTATGGGTTTAGGGGCCATGGTGAAATTCGGGAGACTTTCAGTGCAATTTCCCCTGCGGGTCTCCAAGCCCCCTCTCACTCTGCATCAGGCTCTCCCTGAAGTCCCCCAAATGTCCTGGGTAAAAGAAACAGGTAAAGCTTGATGCCCCGGGCCCTGGGGGTAGACGTCCTGGACGAGCCCTTCTCAGGAAGGCCCTGGTCTGTCCTCTTCATCCCCCAACACGGGGCCTGGCAGGCGGGAGGTGCCCGCAGTCACTCGAACAAATGACAGGCACGACAAGGCCCCTCTCTGCCCAGGCTGTCCTGGTATCAGGGTAATTTCACCGTTTTCGGAGTCATTTCTATGATTGAACATTTATTTATTTAACCTGCTCTCCATCACTTCATGGCAAATAGATGGGGAAACAGTGGAAACAGTGGCTGACTTTATTTTTCTGGGATCCAAAATCACCGCAGATGGTGATTGCATCTGTGAAATTAAAAGACGCTTACTCCTTGGAAGGAAAGTTATGACCAACCTAGACAGCATATTAAAAAGCAGAGACATTACTTTGCCAACAAAGATCCATCCAGTCAAGGCTATGGTTTTTCCAGTGGTCATGTATGGATGTGAGAGTTGGACTATAAAGAAAGCTGAGTGCCAAAGAATTGATGCTTTTGAGCTGTGGTGTTGGAGAAGACTCTTGAGAGTCCCTTGGACTGCAAAGAGATCCAACCAGTCCATCCTAAAGGAGATCAGTCCTGGGTGTTCACTGGAGGGACTGATGCTGAAGCTGAAACTCCAATACTTTGGCCACCTGATGCGAAGAGCTGACTCATTGGAAAAGACTCTGATGCTGGGAAAGATTGAAGGTGGGAGGAGAAGGGGATGACAGAGGATGAGATGGTTGGATGGCATCACTGACTCAATGGATATGGGTTTGGGTGGACTCCGGAAGTTGGTGATGGACAGGGAGGCCTGGCGTGCTGCGGTTCATGGGGTCGGAAAGAGTCGGAAACGACTGAGCGACTGAACTGAACTGATTCTATAGAACCTATAGAAGCTCCCCCATCTTTCCTTTTTG